CCTGTGTACCATGTAGTCATTTATCCCAGTAAACCTAAATATACCTCTGCCTACTTGGTCATTAAAATAATATTTAATAGAGCTAGTGATAAATGAAAAAAGATAAAATAATGTTAGGCTTTCATTGGCTCCCTAAGATGAGGACTGGTTATGAAAAAATATTGCTTTCAAGCTATATATAAGAAAGAAAAAATTCATTTTCAATAAATATTTTTATTAGTTATTTTAAATTTATTGATGTACTATTTGTGTTATTAAAATTATGGCATTTTCCTCATAAGAAATGTGTACACTTGCTTTACCAGTAAAACTGGTAAAACATATTCGTGTATAATTTGTGACAACTTATCTTTCCATCTAGTTATAGAAAGCTGTGTGTTATTACTATGGTAATTCTATTTGAAAGGATTAGTTCACAAATTTCTCAAGAACATTATCCACAAGTGTGTTTTTTTTCCTTCAGTCAAGTAAGATTCTTCCAACAAAAAACTTTATCTTATTCCACCACTGTTCTTTTTACTCATATGTTGTATTATCTGTACAGGTTCTCAACTCATGAAAACTTTATTAGATCATCTTAGGGACTTTTAACTAGCCTTTAATATTTACAAGAGGCAGAACAGCATACACTTCAAGAGAACAAAATGGGCACAGTTGAGTATAAACTACCCATAAAAACAAGTTCCACTAAAAGTACCTCCTAATATAATCATCTGCCTAATGATGTTGAGAAACCAGTTTATTCAAATTTCTCTGTGTAAGATTATTACTAGTATATGCATAATTATAGGGAAACTTGGGTCCAGGCCTTCAAAATATGTGAAAGATTATTAATAGTCTTGTCATATATTTAAAATGGTATTTTCAGTCATGTGATGAAAAATTTTATTAATTCTAAATTTTGCAATAGGTACCCATCTTGATCAGGATCCAATAATACAATTCTATCTTAATATTTGAATAATCCCATCAACTTCAAATTCCATATAACCTGAATTTATTTTTAAAAATAAATAATTGCTGATAATAATTTTAGTCTTAATGTTAGTCCCATCTATTACAAATAAAGCCCCCCTCACCATGCACATTATTAATAGGAGCATTTATATAAGTATAGTATGTCAAAATACAAATCTCTCTGCTTCTCTAGCTTCCACCTACCTGGTATATCAATGCATCAGAGACATCCTTTTCCCTCATCTCTTTTTCTCTCTACGTAGCTGCTTGCAGAAATAGGATTAAAAAACTGACCTCTGATGTCTAGGGAAACACTGACATGTCTTACATGTGGACCTTATCCTGGCTTCAGCTCACGTTTCTGTTCCTCAACAGTTCACTGATCAGTAATTTATTTGCAGGCTTATGCACAATAACTGTCAATGGAATGTTATAATCGAAGGTAGGCTTTGCATTATGTTTAATTTAAATTTAAAAGGTCATTGTAAAGTGAGAATCATATGTGATAAGAAGCTTGGTGTTATTTCCTTCAACATAGTTTATGTAATCAATTAATTTTAATTCATGGATAACCTATAGGGTTAGTAATTTTGCAAAATTAATTCTCATTATTTTATATATACAGATGTTAACATATACATGCAAACAAATAAATCAGTTTGTGACAGAATCCCATCAGGAATTTAAAATTTAAACTTGCTCAAGAACTCAAATCACTTATCATGTTTATGAAAGAAACAATCAAGTGTATTCATTAAATAAATATTACTCTGTTCGTTAAACAAACAAGAAAAATCCCATGCAGACCAGACATGCATTTGAGTTTCTTACACACAGACCAATCCTACTTTGGTTATTTCAAATTGACCGTGTTTAAAGACATATTCAGTAAATGTGTTACTATGTTTAGAAGAACATTAAAATGCTATCTTGGTTTATGACTTGTTTTTCTGCATTAGTGCTAAATATACAAATGAATATCAAACAGTATTCTATAGTGCCCAAAATCATTATACTTTATTTAAGAAACTGAACGCGTTTTCTCGAGCCATAATCAGATAACGTGTAATAGTCTTGTCAACCTATGGCACACACTGAAACTTGAAATTGACATTTGAAATCTTGATACAGCAAATCCTCACTTAACATCACTGATAGTTGCTGTGAAATGACTTATAATAAACCAGTTATAGCATAGGCCAATTGATAAGAAAAAAGAAAACGGTTAAGTTCCTATGACATCTCATTGACATTACAATGAAATGATGAGACATTATTCGAGGACCTGCTGTATTCTAGGATTAGTAAGCAAACTGCGCATTGACAAGGACCAGATTTTTCCAATATAGACCCAGTAATAAGGTACTTGTCAATAGTATCTGCAGTTGACTCCCATTGCACTCGGTTACCTTGGTTTCACTAATTACAGTCATTTGTTCTGAATTTGTCTAAGTTGGTAAATGATAAGTGGTTTGTAGTAACAGGGGCTACTAGAGTGTCATGGAGAATTACCTTTTAGGAAGTAATTTCCTGGGAACCTAGGGAAGCATGTTCTTGGCCACTCGTGAAATCTTATTTCATTCTTGTTATTTACTGCTTGATCAATATGCATGCCAGTTTTCTGTTGAATTTCACTCTTGGTTTCATGTTCAGATTGCAAAAGCTAAATATCAACTTTCGTGTTTTGCATATTTTTTTTTCCAATTTTACTTCTAAGAAAAAAAAAGTCAGATGATTTATCATCATGAGAGATTGTGGATTATGAAAACTTAACGTAATTTTTTTTCTGTTATGAACTTCACCAGAGATTTTTTTAAAGTACTCCCTTTCTTTCCACTCACCATTTCCAAATTATTTAAAAAAAATTTAGAGCCACTATATTTCCCCCAATACCGTGAGCAGTTTAGAAACATCTACCCCAGACACCTCTTTGCCCAAAGCCTTCTCCTTAACAAAGTAACACACAGGGATGGTGGGCGGCCCTGGGGTGAAAACAGGAACGGTGCGAAGGCCGGACAGACATCACTCCGTGTGCTGCCTGTCATCTTTCAGGGCTGTGCCGCGGGCCACGTTGGTGACGCCCACATCTGCAGTCTCTCTTTTTCCCCCGCTCCCAGGTATGGATCTGTTCTCCAACTGCACCGAGGAATGTAAAGCCCTGGGCCACTCGGATCGGTGCTGGATGCCTTCTTTCGTCCCTTCGGACGGACGCCAGGCTGCCGATTATCGCAGCAACCTGCACGTCCCCGGCATGGACTCTGTGCCGGACGCCGAGGTGTTTGAGGCTCCGGAGGCGCCGGGGGCGGCAGAGCGGTCCTTCTCCACCTTCGGCAAGGAGAAGGCCCTCCACAGCTCGCTGGAGAGGAAGGAGCTGGACGGACTGCTGTCCAGCATGCGAGCGCCTTACAAACCGCCCTATTTGAGTAAGTATTCCGTAAAAGGCTGTCTCAAGCTGTTCCCTGTGCGGGAAGAAAGTTCCACACGTCCTGCTTCTTAGTGATCATAGAGGCGCTCAGGGGGCCTTCAGAAACGTGGAGAACAGTGGCTGCTGGACGCAGGCAGCGCTTCACTGTGGAGAAGCGGATTCCCGGACAGGCAGACAGGTGTCTGGGCGGGGACACGGTTGTTGACAACAACCCAAGGCAATACTTTGGATGTTGTTGGAAACGTTCTTCAACTGCTCCTCGTAGTTCCTTGGAGTATTCCTCTCTTGCTGGCTTGGTTTCCATGCTGTTCGAAGGGCTTGATCCAGGTAGAAAGACATCTCTTAACACTTGAGGCTCTGAGGGATCTCATTTCTGTGGATGCCAGCAGTATTTGCTTAATCGCCCTTTACCACAGTAGCATCCAACACATCACCCTAAATTCAGAAACCAGGGCAGCCTTGACTTTGACCATTCAGCAGGGGTGAGTAAGTGATATGTTGGTGCGGATTCGAGTCTGATTCAAACCAGAGGCACTATGTGATGAGAACACATCAATCTAGCAATAGTCTTCGTTTGTTTGAAATGATAGATTCTTCTAACATTGAAACTTAGATAATTTCACTCATCTCTTTCAATTTTGGGTCCATATTCCCTAAGTGGGTGATTTTATACAACCACTGTGAAAAAATAAAACTGCTTTGAGATTCTCTGTAGTTTATTTCCTTTGAGGATCTTAGAAATGAAATTATACTATTTATTGTCTACTACACAGGAATCTTTTAGTTAGTGGATAATTGCTACTGATAACTCAATATGTTGGTCAAACCATGTGAACGAATATTTCCTGAGGATGCAATTCATAACAAGTCAATCAAAAGATGACGTTTACCGTGTATAGCAAATCCATCAGACATGATGTTTTCTTACTTTCATTGTCTAGTACAAAAATAAATAAATCCTGGAACCATAAGCTAAAAATGAAAGGTGAGATAGACTGCAGATGTAGCCTTACTGTTATTACTTAGGAAATGGGAGGAAAAAAGAAAACGTACTTAAAGGTAGGAGTACTTAAAGTACTTAAAGAACACGTATGTTAGTCGTTATGAATATAAATGTGAAAGGCATGGATTGGATGCACCGAGGACCTGGCTACTCTTCTGGCCGCTGATAATAAGAATACACAAGTGACATATAACCGAACATCTGCCATTGAATACATACATTGTGATGGCAACAAAGACCAAGTGTTGTTTAATGAAGGATCATGTTCAGCTTTTCAAATTATGTAGAAATGCAATTACCCTAGTATGATATAGCGATTTAGGATTTCAGAACCAAAGAATTGTGCCTCCCTATAAATAATTGATAACTGTTTTGATTTATTTTTTTAAAGTTATAAAATACAAGGAAAACACAAATACTTAAATATTGAAACATCTACTCTAATAATGAACATGCAATTTAAATGCTAAAGTACTAAAGTTTAACTCACATATCTGCACACACTAGTGATTTAAAGTAGCCTAAAATTAAATTTTAACAAGGGAGGACTATTATGCAGTCTTTGCCCCTCAAAACGAATTCTGGATTTTAAATTTTGTTACCAAAAAACAAGCTTTTCCAAATTTTAAACAATATATTTTCAATTTAAATTAATAATACACATTATAGAGATACATTATCGATGATTTCAACACAAAAGGTCAAAGAGCATATGATTCATAGTAATTCAAATTTGTATTTCTAAATAAATGCATATATTTACTGTTGCTATATATCAATTGGTAAGTCTGCATCAAATATAGTGAAAAAATTTAAGCATTTACAAATGTCTTTCTCCACTGACTAGTTTTTCTTTTTAATTTCAAGTTTCACAGTAACAATTTTATTAATGCAAATGTTAATGCTGCTTATATTTTAATGAAAATTTCTCTAATTCCTAAGAATCTAGTGTTTTCGTTTAGAAATCTAATTTTAGGGATTATGAAATATGTTAACTGTTATGTGTGTCGCTAGAAATCAATGAATGTGTCTATTATATTATCAAGAAAATTGCATTTGTTTGCGTATTATCCAAGTATGTATTAGAATAAATTAGTTTTCAATAACAATTTATTTTTTCTGTTTAGCCAGCTCACATTATTCAAAATTTAGGGGATAGGATGAATTGTGACCTCGATGAAAAATAAGTAGAACAATAGCTATTTTGCTCTTACTTATATTGTCCTTAGTTCTTCATATAATTCTAATCCTGTCTGAATATTTTTAAAACTTCTAGTGTTTCATGTCATCTTAGACTCACACAATTATCTTTAAAATTACATCATGGCTCTGATTTAACAGGCATAATCAATTTTAACCTAATAATGCAAACTATAACCCAAAACCATTCCTGATCATTTTGCCCTCCAAATTCACATGATAATAGTTGTTAAAAGATGTATCATTTATCATTGGCAATGGAAATATCATGATCTTCTAAATTGAAAAAGCACATCCCTTATGTAATGAAAGAATCTAAAAATTGACTCTAATTATTTGCTCTTAATGAGAATGTTTAAATAATTATTGAGGTAGCAGTTTTTCTTTTGCTAAACTTGCATTTAGTTTTATAATGAACATAATGTACATTTTGATGTTCAGAGCAGTAGCTGTATACTTAGTTAAAGCTCTAAAGAAAGCTCAGTGAGGCTGCCGCTGTCATTTATGAAATGATGACAGGAAAATAGTGACATGCTTAATAATGCAAATGAGATCATTGTTTATACCCAAGAACTTTCCATTTCTATACCTCTGATTGCTAAGGTTAAAATTGAAAATGGCAAGAAACCAATTTTTACACAAAAGTACGCGTTAAAAAATTGTATTTTGTGTTTATAACAGCATACCTAAATACAGTCTCATGTTTCCTTTTGTTTAAAGAAAAGATTCATGAACGTATACACGATGCATTTAATGAAAAAGAATCTTTTTTTTTTAACCAGGAGTAATTTTGAAAACACATCTCTAAATACTTGCTCCTTAGTCATGAGCACTTTATGAACATGCTCTTATTTTTGTTACAATGTCGTCATTTGCTAATACTCTGATAAGGACCAAAGTGACACACTTAAAAATTAAGAAAAGAAATTTAAGCATGTAGAATATATTTGTCATGAAATAAAATCTACACAGTGTTTAGATTTATCTTAAAATGTTAATGAATTTTAGCTTAGCCTCACCTTAAATTTTTATTAGAGTAATAAAAATACTTAAATCTTACTTTAACTTGTTTTCAGAAGATATCTTTTTTTTAGCTGTCTCCTATGATACCTCATGATGTTCCTTCTACTTGACTGTATGCTTTTTTTTTTACATCCTCAACATTTAAAAAAAATTTATATTGTTTAAAGTATTATAGAAGTCCTTCTTTTTCCCCATTGATCCTTAACCAGCACCCATGGTTAGTCTCTGAGGTTTAAAAATAACCTATTTTTATGATGATGAATTGAAGAATTAGAATTATAGGCATCTTTAAAAAATAACGTAGTCTTTCAAATGACACAATAATTTATACATAAAACAATCTGGATTGTCACAGCAAATAAGAACAAAAATAATTTAAGAATATAATTGGTAAAAGTTATTAATATAACTTAGAAAAACCCAATAGTTAAAACATCTTTAATATTATTTTTCAATCATTCTTGCTTATAATTTTGTCTTCACATTTTGATCAGATCTGGTAAGATTTTTGTCAGTAAATAAACATGTCTTTCAGTAAATAATCATCCTAAACAATACAGAAGTAATGGTATAAGTATTAGAGAAATTGTTGATTTTTTTGTCAATAAACATAGTCCCTAAGAATTGAAAAATTGAAGACAATCATAAGATAAATAATCAAAGAAATTTTATCTAAAATATATTTGTGAAACTCATTTATTAAAATCATACAATAGATTATAAAGAATAAAGTGAGAAAAAATACATTGACATACTAATTTTCAAAATTCTAAATCCATGACATTTCCTGCCTTCAAAGCATGCCACATTTAGACTAGTCCATATGTGCTGAAATATCATGCTAGCTGCTTCCTGACCTCACTTTAGTTTTGCCTACTTTTGAGACTTTTTGAAATTTCAATGCTACTCATTCATGTCATAACGTAAGAAAAGACATTGCCTTTAAAATATTGCTGACATTTTACCTAGACTTTGTTTTTAGTAAACCTCCGATTGGGAAATTTATTTGGGGCATCTATATTAATTCCACGGAACACTTGAAGTTTTTATTTGATTGTAAGCAAAATGGGTGACTGGCCAATGCACTCGCTACAACCTGCTCCTGCATGGACACTCTGTCCTGGGAAATTGCTTCCTCTCCCTTCATGACTTCAGGCTGCCTTCTGTACGTTTTCATGATTTCTTGAACTCAATAGTGTGGCAAGAACATATATAGAATTGAAAATAAAATGTCTTATTGATACACAATATCCTCATATTAACATACTCTTTTGTAGTGTTTTCTCTGAGATATGTATATTCCTCTAATGCCATACAGATAATCCACCTTATCAAATATTAAAGTCCACAGATGCATATTTTTATATATGACCTTTTCAACATTTCTGTCTCATAGACCCATACATCACTAAATGGATGGACACCTTTTTTGGATTTTTGTCCTTTTCCAGCAGATAGGTATTTCTGTTCCCTTTTTTTTTTCAAGTTGTGCTACTTTTTTTTATAATTACCTATTTCTGATATTTTTGTACTCTCTTCTTTATAAGTATATATCTAGATTCATATGCAACTGATTTTCTCACTTTTTTAGTGTATCTCATTTTGACAAATCTTTGGTCTTTGAATAATACCAATCTTTATATTTTTCCATTGAATTCCTTTTCTCGTGAATTAACAATCTCTCATAATCAACATCATTTGCTCTCCTCACCTCTGTGAGCAAGAATAAATGATAATTCAAGATAAAAATGTACCCAACCCCAATTTATATTCTCTATGTATCTACTGTTTAATTTAATGATCACTGAATTTTATGATAGTTTACTTTTTTGAAATAGTTCATCTATTCACATTTCGTATAATTACTCCAGTAACTGATTCAGCAGCTGACTGGAACCTCCCTATAACTTTAGGTAAATGAGATATAATGTTACTTCATTTCTTACTCATTAGGTGTTGGTTAATGGTTTATCTCAACTAGTATGATTTAAAGTGAAAGCTATAAAAGTCTTTTGTAAGGTACAAATGTGAATCAGAGAACTTTGCCCTTCTGGCAATGTCTATAGGCAACATGTTTTTTACTTATTCAGACATCAGTGCTTTTGTGACATCACTTCACTAAAAATGTGTACCTTTGGGTACATTAGAACTAGTAGTAATCAATACTTTTTGGGGGTATTGAGACTGATTACCCAGTTATATATATTATAAGTGCTAAATAATTATCGCTGAGAAATGAATGAATGGATAAATAAATGAGTGTTCTTAAAGTACCCCAAATTTCTTTAATGCTGTCCTCACACTTTCCTTGACATACACACTTTTTGATATGTTAAGGGAAACTTTCTTTTTTTCTTAAATTAAAACATGTTTTAAATTAGTTGTATTTCTCTCTAGCTAATACGTACATTATTTTGTGAGAGGAAGTAGAATTTGAATTCATTTGAAATATTAAAATGCACCTAACTAGGGTATTTGGTAAAATATGAAGTTTTTTAATACTTTGAGATTTTAAATTTCGTTTGATTGGTTCTAAGAACTTATTTTATATCCTAAGAAAGTGTTAAATTTGTTTTGTATTTATTGACATTCTTAGAATTGTAACTAATTCCTTTCTTACAGGGTCTGTGAGACAATCTTTTTTTTTAACATATTTTATTTACTAAGAGCTTTCCTATTTTAGCTCCCATTTTTCATTAAACCAATAATTATATACTTTCCCCTGAATTAGCCACTTATTTTTTTTATTTAATCCCCATGCAGGAGTTATTTATTTGCATATTCCTAGTTACATTATTGAGTTTTTATTGAGATACTTACAGTTAAATAAACTATTGTATATTTTTAAGGGAATATAGAGAAAACCATTGATAAAGGTAATTTATATCTGTATTCACTAGTTTACACTCCTTGGTATGTGAGTCTTCACCTAATATTTAATGCAGTTTATTTATGCATACTTTGCATATTTTTGAGTTAACATTTCTCATATTAATTATATACCTCATTTTATATTACAGATCATTTCCATCCTCTTTCTTATTTTGCACATTGGAAATAACTTCATTTAAGCATTTGTCCATCATGTGAGCCTAACAAAGGAAGATTAGCAATTAAAATATAAATAGAATTATTCACTGAAAAGGAATATTTACTTGGGAATTTTTCCTGCCTCATCAAACTGAAGATTTATGAGTCTAAATTCATTAAGTTATAAAGATATTGTAAATAGTCTGGAGTATAAAGATTCAATTGCTTATAAATATCATTAAACATCATTTAATACTCAATGTGCCAGACTTTTTTTGAATGAGTATGCGTCTTCTGAAATTATTTTAATAGAAATTAGATGGTGTCATTTAGACAAGACAACTTGGAAACTGCTTTGGTCTGCGAGGTTCAAGATTGAATAATACCACTGAATAAAGACTATAACCTCAGCATAATGAGTCAATTAAATGTTTCCCAAGTATAATAAAAACCAGGGCAGTTTTATATGAATGTCCAATAAGAACCTCTAATTGGTGATCCGTAATTATCTACATCAGTTTACATGGGGAGAATTGAGGAGATTTGAAAAAAAAAAAAAAACCCAAATGTGATTACATACACATGGATAAAGATACAAACAAATGGTAGACTAGAAATTTTGTGAATAAAAATCAGAAGTTTGTTTCTGATTCTATAATTGGTACATTACATTTGACATTATATCACTTTATATTTATATATTATGCCTAGACGCATAACTGTATGTTTTGTCCTAGAAATACATTTTTAACTCCAAGAATTGAAAAGATTATATATGAACTTCATTTCAATAAAACTTCTATAATCTGTACAACAGACTTTTCTAAATTACCAATGACAGCTTTTGAGTCATTGAGTTCAACAAGTGTTTATAAATGTTTTCTGCATTCTATTTTTATGATTCCATCATATGCACATTTGCACATATTTGCATCCTGTATGCAGGCACTGTATTTTTAATTTAATTAAATTATATCTATTCATTACCAGAGAAAGACAATGATTATGTTTACCACAAGAGTGGGTTTACTTAATAGCTATTTCATTAACTGAAGCTGTTAACATGACAATATGGTGCTTGATGATAAACAGATAAGAGATAGAATTTTAGTCTGCTCCTTTAATTTTTAAGGTACTGTTTGAATATTTGAGGACCAGTTAATATATAGGTAGCAAAATTAGCCATGACACTTCAGAAGAAATAGAGGTTTAGTTCCAGTGTTTATGTATTATGAGGAAGACATTATTTTTACTACTTGTAAAAATATTGCAATCATTAGGGCTTCTTTCTCCTTTCAAATGTTGGTATTAGCCAAAATTCTGCACTAGATCCCAGTATTATAGGTAATATTGTTGGCTATATCATGGTATATTATATACATACTAGAAATATGACTTCAGTTTGTGATCAAGTCTACTAATTATATTGCAGCTGAAAGTTAGATAATGACTACATTATTTAATAAAAAGCATATTTGCAAATGTTTTTGTCAAAAATTTTAAGCACATGTTTTAGAAAAGACCTAAACATAGAAGTAATACATTAATCGAATCAATATCAAACATATATTTCCTGGATTAAATTTTGAATCACCCCAATTAAAGAAATAGCCAAAGTTGAGGAGTTCTCATATCATATTAAACATATCATTGGGTTTTGACTCAAAGTGCAGCACATAGTAGAAAGAAAATATTGAGTCAACAATGGCAACAGTAGGTAAAGTGAATATAATAGGTTGTTTTGATGATGTATACTTGATGATGTATGTCAGATAAAATATTTCACATGTAGGTTTAACCAAAATGGTGGTAGGAATAGGTAGGAGAGAAAATGTTACAGTTTGACAGTTGCTATTATTTTATTCTTAGAAAATGTATAGAAAACTTGGAGACTGACCTTTAAAATTGATATAAAATTCTTGCCCTGGCCAGTGTGATCCGGTTAGTTGGGCATGATTCCAGGCACTGAAAGGTGAAAGGTGGCCAGTTGGATTCCAGCTCAGGGCACGTGCCCTGGTTTAAGGCTACATCCCCAGTAGGGAGTGTGCATGAGGCAGCTCTCCCATTGATCTTTCTCCCTGTCTTTTCCTCTCTCTCTGAAAGTGAATAAAAATATTTTTAAAAATAAAAAACAAAATAAAATTAGAATAAATTTCGTGTACCTTTTTTTTCACCATTAATAAACCTAATACCAGAACTAATCCCTTTGGAAGTCACAAATAGTGCTGTTTTAAGGTTTATTTGCCCCAGAATTAATTACTTGTCAGATGATTATATTGACGTCATGAAACCTAGATATGTTTTGGTAGATATATCTCGATTTATCTCAACTTTTTTATTAGAACAATGACAATAGAGAACAACATTAGAATGATATTTAGTTCTAAATTATACTTTTTAAAGATTTTGAAAATAATTGAAAAATTTAAGTATGTACAAAGCACAGAGAATAAACTCTCCATTTTCTCCAGTTTAAACAGTGATCCATTCTTTGCCAAATTTGTTTCATCCAACGCTAACACAACTCCTCCTTCAGTGAGATTTTTAAAGTAAATTCAGAGATCCTACTGTTTAATTATTAATATTTCAGCATATGCTTAAGATAGTTTATTTTAGCATAACCACAATAACAATACTCTTCTTAATTTTTTCTATCCTTGTTATTCACGTTACCACAGTTTTCTCAAAAATATTATTTATATTTACAGTTAAGTTGTTGACTCATGATTAAAATAAGCTTCATAGATAGCAATTAACTTTTATTTTTAAACTTTTTATTAAAGAATACTACATATGCAGAAAAAGACAAAAATCATAGATGCATAACTCAATAAATTTTCACAAAATGAGAATGCCTGAATAATCACTGACCAAAATATTAACAAGGCACTATGTTCAGTAGCCCCAACAGGACTAAGTATCTCATTAAGCCCAGAATTTCACCTTCTACGTGGCTGCTTCTACCCAAGCAATTACCACTATTCTGGCCTCCAACCAAAAATAGTTTTTGGGGGGGTTTTAAAATTTATATAATTTGACTAAATGAAATAGTGAGTATATTTGAGTCTCATTAAATTTTATTAGCCATTTATTCTCTCTGGTAATATAAGGAAGCAGTTAGCAGAGCCCATATGTACCAGCATATAAATTAAAAAGACAGTTTAGTTCAGATGAGTTCTCCTTGGATCTAATTTTTCTTATTATCTTTGGAGTTCTCAAGACTAGTCATTTAGAAATGTTTGCTACTCATCTTCATATCTTTCTTACTGTTTGAAACATAGTATGATATTTAGTGCTATTTTATAGAAACAAATATTTCAATATGTTAACTTGAATACCAGATTATAACAAAAGTGTAGAGAAATTCAAATGTCTGTGTTTCACATTTCTTCCAGCCTAGATTAGAGAGTTGTGAGAAATTGGAGACTATGATGCTTAAAAGAGACGGAATACAGTAAAGAGATCAACATTTTGGGAAAGAGGTTATCTGAAGAGAGTTTAAAAGGATCGAGGAAGTGAAACTTGAGAAGAAAAGGGGAAGGGGACATAACAAATGTTAAGTGGTTAAACAAATACTACACAAGTGAGAGAGTGATCAATCTGTCTTTATTGAGAGCAAAGAAAAGAGAAAATGGATCTACATTGCATCCTGAGAGATTGAAAGTACACATTACAGAAAATGTACTGCCCCCAGCATTGGCATTTGCTCCTGAGAGATGAGGAAACACTTCACCTAGATTGTAACTTTACAAACTAGGAACATACACCTGTGCCCTGTGATGTGGAAGAAGAGCACTTATTAGCCCTGTGATGTATTTCCC